TGAGGGCAGGGGACCTGTCTTTGGCCCAGGGCTGTTCTTCCACTGATCCCCAGTGCGAGCACTGGATCATCCCTTGAGTCTCGTGCATTCCCTGCTCCCTCTGCCTTCCCTGTTGAGGAACTAAACCAGGCTCAAGGCAGGGTGCTTGGCACAGCACACTTGGACCCATCTGCATCATTGTTCTCTGCACACTTGCTGCTGGGCCAGCAGTGCAGCACCTGGGGGAAGGTGCTGCACACATGCTCCCCAGCTGCCGGGCACTGCCTGCCCCAGAGAGGAGGCTGTCAAGCAGGGATGGTCAGTCCTCTGGCCTGTGCTGTACATGCATGGCTGTGTCTGCCTGTCCTCCCTCCCCTTCTTCTCTCCACTGTGTCAGTGGGCTCTCCGTGGATGCATGACAGTCAAGAAGCTTGTGCTTGTGGATACATCTCCATGCAGATGGTGTCCCCACACCATCGCTGCTGGTTCCCAGCAGGGCACTTACTGGTGCTCTGTCGCTGACTCTCTGACACTCCCCAAAACTTGTCTTGTGGTAGCTGGGCAGGATGGGTGCGTGTGGGACAAGCACAGGGTGCACAAGGGGCTGGGACTGCCACGTACCTGCCTGCCCCACCCTTTCTCCTGGCTGTGCCTCTATGAATGCCTGGTAACCTCGTCTCTGTCTCTGTGTCTCTGCAGGGTCTCACCTCAACACCGAACCACTGAACTCCACACATGTTCTGACACATACCTGAGAAGAGAGGAGAGGAAAGCAGAGTGGAGGGGAGCAGGGCTGGCTGTACGTGTTTCTATAGGCTAATGGCATGATTTCTGTATGAGACATACTTACCGTCCTATCCGCATGACTGACTGACTGCAAGACGCATGAGCTACAGTACTTAAAACTGACGGAGGGGCCTCCGTCCCTGCCCCGCTGCTGCCAGGAGCCCAGAGACAGCAGCATGCACCAGGGGCATCCTCTCAGCTCCTCTGGGAGGCAAGAGCTGGACTGGCAGAAAACAAGAGGGGAGGAGGCTCCACCTTCGCACATCCACGTGTGTAAATGCATCCTCACGCCTATGCTCCAGCTGCAAGAGGGAAGCTGGAGCGGCACGGCACTGCTCACCGTGGAAGGAGAGGGGCTCAACCCCCATTGCCTATACTGGACTTGCTTCTCATCCCTCTCAGTGAGTGTTGGGTTATGGGGAGGGCAGCAGTTGCCAGGAGGTGTGCGAGATGAGGATTGCAGGGAGCACAACTGCCCTGGGCAGAGGGGCTGGTGCAGGGCTGCCCTTCCTCTCCCCAGCACATGCAACACCTCTCACCAGGGCAGGGCTCTGGGCTGAGAACTGAGCTCGTTGCTTGTGTTGAAAGTGTAAACTGTACAGCAATCAGCCTTGTGTATATGAACCAATAAATACTATGCAAACCCCTAGGGACACTCTAGCAGTATGTACAAAGCACTAACAGCTCCGCTCCCGAATACCTCTTCAGGACAGGCAAAACCTTTGGAGTATGTGAGCAGCTCTGGTGAAAGGACATGGGAGGCTATAGGAGTAACAGGGCTCTCCTGTATGCAGGACTGCCCCTCTCCTCCAGCTGAGCCTGGTCCCTTCCTGGCCTGAAGAGAGGGGTCCACAGGCGCAGTACCATGGGCCTGTCCATGGTACAAGCCCCATTTTGTGTTGGCTCCAGCTGGGGTGTAGCTGTAGGCCTGTGATGCGGTGCTTGGGGCCCAGGGACAATGGGCAGTGAGACAGAGCAGGGGATGCTTGTGCCACACATGGGGTCGTGCCTAGCTCTACTCAGCACAATATCTGCTCAGGAGATGAGCCAGGAGCCAGCAGCGCTGTACTACACACCCCATGCAAGGGCTTTGCAGGGTGCCCTGGCCTCCCTGCAGGGGCACAGTGAGCATAGCCTGTGGAACCTGTGGATGCTGACCCCCCCAGGACCAACCCCAGAGCTGTGGGGGGGCTGCTCCCCCTGTGGCTGCACTTCGGCCAGGTGAAATGCCCTGCTGCAGCAGCCTGGACCAAGAAGTCATGCTGGGAGCTAGGACAGCCCCAGGGCCAGCTGCTCTAGCAGGAGAGCAGTGATGGGCAGAGCTGCCCAGGCAACTCTGAGGTGTGTGGTAGGTTCAATCTGCTACAGTATTTGACCCAGGAGGGCCAGATGCAGGTAGAGGCAGTAGGTCCCATGCCCCAACTCTGTCCTTTACCTAACCAAGGTGGGGGCCTGGTCCTTGTAGCTCAGTAGTGTGGGGAACCCCTGCTTTTTCCGCTGGAGGTGGCCACGGACCTGTGTTGCAGGGCCTGAGTTTGCTCTCTGTGGCCATGTGCAGAACGAGCCCACCTCCAGCTTCAGTCTGGTGGCCCTGGCAGGGCAGCCCTGTCTGGCGGTGGGTGCGCATCTGCCAGGAAAGCCCTTGGCTCCCCTGCGGTCAGGAAGAAGCCTAGCTGCAGCAAAGCAAATGACCCAGCTTAGCCATATAGGCACAGACTCTCCATCCATGACCCTTGCTGTGTACAATAACCTCCCTAGACCCACTGCGACAGCTGACTCCGTAGCATCACCGTAGAGTTGTGTGTGGGTCCTGTGCTTTGGCCTTGTATACGCCGTAGGGAATGTGCTGTGCTGCAACCGTGCCAGGCACCTGCAGTGACATTGCTTTGCGCTCAGATTGCTCGTAGGGCTGGTAGGGGGAGGCTGCACCTGACATTGAGCCTAGAGAATGCTGCAGTCTGCACACTAGAAGCTTTTTAGAAGTTTTAAAAATTACTTTTATTTCCTTTTTTTAATTGTTATGGAAACAAGCCTTTTGGATCTCCCTGTCTTAGCCCCTGATGTATAGATCATTTCCCTGTACACCAGCTATCAGACTACGAATTAATAAAGAAACCAACACGGACCGTGTCTCATCTCTGCTTTTCCAAGGGTGCGGGGAAGACGTGGGCTCTGGGGTGCGTGGCCAGGAGGGGCTCCCGTCGGGGGGGCTGGCGGCTGTCTGTGCTCTGCCGTTCACGGGAGAGGCCGAAGGCAGTGGGGCTCGGGGCTGATCCG